AGCGGAACCTGATGGGGAGGTAGAGAGTCGGTCCCCCATTTCATGGAAAGGGTGAGGTTTTTTTTTTTAAAAGGCTTCACAATTCCCCCTCCCTTTACACACATATGCAGGCACACTCCAGAATAGTAATCGAAAGGGGGGGGGTTCTCTCCGGTGGGAGGGCGTTTACGATCTTCCCCATCATTTTGCCGTTCCGCTTTATGGCCCCCATCTCTGCCCAGCGGAAGGTGTGTGCGCGCGTTTGTGTGTATCTCTCTCTCTCTCACACACACACACACACCGCCTTTTAGAAATTTCTCTTCGGCGCGTCCTTTCGCCCACTGGAGCGACCTGAAAAGCTGGCGGGAATGGGATTGATTGGGGGGGGGAAGCACGAGAGCGAGCAGTTAATGGGCTAAAAAGAGAGTTTTCCAATCTAATTTTACTTTTGGTGGGGGGGGGAAGGATAGCCCTTGACTTGTAAGATTCCCAAACGCGTCCCCTTCCTCTCCTCATCCCAATATTTTTAGGACGGTCACTGCTGAGGAGGAGTTACGAAGCCGAGTCTTCGGCGCTTCCAGCGGGGCTCGCTCGATTATGCAACTGAAGGCGAGCCCTTTTAAAGGGCGCCTCGTGTGTTGCTGCTCCTCTACTCCCGGTTCCCCGCTTTGTCGTGACCGGGGGCAGGGCAAAGCGATTTCCAACGTAAATCGTCTCGCTTAGCAGCCCCGGCTGAGCTCCTCCGCGGGCTTACTCGGGAGTAAGCCGTCTCCCTGGGTGGGCTCTCTCCCACTTTCTGTGAGCTGCTAAAGCTATGGATAGTCCGAGGGTGCAGCAACGTTCCTCCGCTGACATGTGAAGAAACAAGCCCCCATCCGCGGTTTACGAATCCGAGTAAATGCGGGGAGGATCCGGGGGCGAGCATTCCGGGAGTAAATACGTGCTGGTGGCTTTTCCGGCGGTTCAATTCGGTCGGGGAAGAAAAAGGAAGCCTCCTTGACGCGCTTTGTCTGGTGGCGGACACATAAGATTACTTGAAGCGTATTTTTCTGTTCCCCTGAAGCTTTGGGGGAACTTGGGGAAGGAGGGGTGTGTGATGCCGGGGTGCCTCGTGTCCCCCCGACGCCGTCCTTTCACCTTCGAGGACCTTTTAGCTAAGCAAAGCCCCTTAACCCCATTTCCCGTCTTTTACCTGGACTATCGCCCCCTCGTGATCTCTCTCACTTCCCAAAAGACCCTCGATTTTGAAGGGTTCAACACATTTTTCTGGTCTAGCTCCTGCTAGACTTTGCGAACCAAATCCACACTCCGGTTACACAGGGAAGGAGCACGCTGATACGGAGCGCGATCCTAGGTTTACTCGGAAGTAAGGTCCACTGAGGTTGGCTTCGAAGTAAGGGGCCGCAGGGGGGTCTCCTTACCTGAATGCACCACCCAACCCACTGGACCTTCCAGACGAACATGCATAGGATCGGGGTTGCGCGTCGTCTTGTAAAGCGTATAACCATCCTTCTGCATCTTTGTTAAATCCTAAATATTGTTACCTACAAGTTGAGATGCAGTGTGGTTATGTAGGTTTAAGGACGGCAAGATTGAGAATTGGGGGGGTAAGTATATCGTCATAATGGATGTTTCTTTTCGGTCCGCCTGCCTAAACTATTCATTCACCCTAATTTCATTAGGGTTCACACCTCTAACCCTAATCCTGAGTTTCGAAGACCCGCGCCAGTCTTTCTGCATTCCCTCTGCTTTTGTGAATGTATCTGTTTGAAAAGCAGTGTAGCGGGAACGGAGGGTTAGCCGAGTTGGGATTCAATTTGTGACTCCGGTTTTCTATAAACAACGCTTGCAAGTAATAAGCCGCCGCTTCTTAAGCCTGTTTACTCAAGAGCAAGCTTTTCAGAGCCCAATGGGATTTAGCCGTAAATACCTAGGTACAGACTTGTATGAGTTTGCCTAGGAGTAGGTCTATCCAATAGACGTGGTGGTGCATATAAACAGTTGCAGGATCTGAGCTCTTAATACACCGTTATTGAAAGAAATCCCTATTGAACACAGCTGGGCTCAATACACCGTTACTGAAAGAAATCCCTATTGAACACAGCTGGGACCTGACGCGCGCAGGTTTGTAATGGTGCTTCGGAGGAAAATGTGCCGCCACGCCTCCGGTATTAATGGGGGGGGAGTCCTCCCTCCCCGATTAAGAAGGACAAGGGCCCGATTCTCCTCGTAAAACGGGAGCAATTTGTTAACACTTTTTCGCTCGTCCGACGCTGTAAACCGCCATAGATCACCTCTACAGTCCAGGTGCTTGGAAGTCGGTTCCAGCCTCCGCGTTTTGCAGGCAGCCGCCGTGTCAGATGGAGAGCTCTGAATAACAAAGACAAGTTTGAGAGCAGCCGCAGCAGCAGAGCTGGCTGAGTGACGTCAGGGAACAATGCCTGTGCCAACAGCTTTCCCTCTTCGCCACACACACGCACACGCACACACATACAGCGCGGCTCCTCCTAGGTCACACAAACAGAACTCTGCTCTCCGAGATTCAGTTCCTTAAAGGGATACAGGCCCTTTATGCCCCTCCGGACTCCAAGGGAAAGATTTCGCAAGCTCTCCCTCCCCACCCGCTTTCCTTTCACCCAGCCAATTCAGCTGGCTGCTGTTTTCCCTCTAAGACGGAAGCAATCTTTTGAACCATCTTCTTATCACTAATAATACAGAAAGAACTTTTATGTTAAACATGAAAATCGTTGTTTTTTTTTTTAAAAAAGGAATACAGTATCGCGATTGGTTATTGCTTCTGTATGATTTGGAGAGGTACACAACTGCTTTTTATCGGTTCACATGCTGGGTTAAGAAAATATTACATTAAATATATGCTTAGAAGTCCCCACTTCTACATATTCTCTAGATCTATTTGTTTAGATTTACAGAGACCACCGTATCTAAGGAAATCCGTGCAGAATGGCAACAGTAATTAACCAATTAAGCAATTAACTGCATAATTGTTAGAAGTCTAAAGCCAAACATTGGCTGGTTACTTCCAATAAATATGTGAAGCCCGCCAGGACTCTTTACTGCACTTTACCTCCCTTTCAGGACTGCCAGTTTTATGGAAGCATGATGGGCAGGTTCCCATTTTTTATTTGCAGTGTGAACAGCTTTTTTGACAATTAACTGGAAAAGCAGAACAAAAACAACAACACCGTACTGAGACAACCTGGAAGCATGCAGGCAATCATGCAAGAATTCTTGTGCTGTTTTCTGCCGGTTACATGCTTGGCTGTTCAATCCCTTGCCGAACCGGAGCATAACTTAGGTGCATGAGGGATGGCAAACAAAATGCAGCATAACCACCTGCACAAATGCTTTGTTGCAATCTGGCTTCACAAAAGGATTCTTCCCAAATTTATTGAAACTCAAGACTGATTTTCTGTGCTAGGGTCAGGACCGTCTACTGGAGGGAACAACTTGTGTCTTTCCAGATGTTGCTGCTGTAATCCTTGTTAGCATATTTTTTTATTATTATTATTTACAATATTTTTAGCCGCACCATTGCCAGTGGCTTAGTGGTGAGGATGATGGGATTTGCGGTCTGGAGGGCCCCAAGTGGCTCACCAGAACATCTGCAGTTTGTGATCAGGGAAGGGGGAGAGCCCTACCGCTTGAGCCATGAGATGACTCTGCTCCAAAGCTCTGTGCTGTGACACCTTGGCCTCCACAGTCTCTTACACTCCAGATATCCCTCTTATAC